AACTAGTGGTTGTCTATTCATTCATACGACATCCCACAAATGTATGAGGGGTAGGTCTTCTTGGCCCTTGTACCATGACCTACAGTGGTCTGTTGTGCTGCCCCTTTTGATTATCTCCTCAGCAGTCCTGCGCTTCGAATGAAGCGTAGGATCTTGTACGTCGGGATGTCAAAATAGTCACTTGGTTCCATAAAATATTGACCCAAGTGGTGCAATCTTAAATAAGTCAAGGCCTCACATTCGCACAGGATATGTGTGGCTGTTTCTTTTTCTTCTTGACACCTCTCACAAGTGGGACTGTTACTTAGTCCCAATTTGAAGAGGTGTCCTTTGAGGTGACAGTGTCTTATAGGCAGGGATGTTACAGCATGTTACAATGAACATACATATTCTTTTCAGCAACTTCGAGGAGTGATAGAAGCCCTTCACATTCTGACAAAATCAAACAACACGAGATTTGAGTTCATTTTTACAAACTTAATACCAGGAAATTTGAGGCATTTCACATCTGTGATGGGTGTACACAAGTATGTAAAAATTTTCACAATATTTATGTTTGGTTACTTTGTGATCTTGATGTCATATTGTAAGATTTGATGTTTTCACGCCGCGTGACTATGAAGAATGCCGTCTTCTGGGATGTGGTGCTGTGTAGCTCTTGTGTGAACCGATGTTTCGGGGGAACGTTTTTCCTCATTCCTCCAAAACGTTGATTCACACAAGATCTACACAGCACCACATCCCAGAAGACATAATTCTTCAGTATATCATATTGTCACTGTGTGAAAGAAGGATGAGTGGTAAGAACTGCACAGGAAAGTATTCTTCTAAATAATTTTAATTTCAGTGCTCTTATTTTTACAACATAAGGCTATTTTACAAATGACAAAACAATTCCATTCAGTGTGACTGTTGAAGCTTTTACTATTTCACTTCTAAGCACCCTAACATGTTTCGGTCCCTATAGACCATCATTGGAGGGAACATTAATACATCAATACTCCCTCCAGTGATGGTCTATAGGGGCTGAAACATGTTAGGGTGCTAAGAAGTGAAGTAGTAATAGCTTCAACAGTCACACTGGATGGAATTGTTTTGTCATTTGTAAAATTGTTAGTGTGATGGACCAGAATGAAACAAATAAAAAAAAAGGCTATTTTGTGTTGTTTATTTTGCCAACTCTATGTAATGCCATGTATTGCATAATTCATGTACAGAGGTAAAATTACTAGTATTTAAATCTTCTTAAAATTTGTTCAGAACAATCGTCATAAATAATCATTAACATGAAGTATGTGCCTTGTTTAGATCTGTGACTGCAGTGAACTCTCATATTTCATAAGAAATGATAATTTTCATATGTAATCATGTCTGTGCACGTGTGCATCCACTGAAGCTTTAAAATAGAAAAATTGAATGCTTTTCATAAATTTCATTTTGTATGTTATGCCAGTTGAAGAAATTCTGTTTTTGTCTTTTTAATGTTTACCATCCCTAACTGTAGTGGCTAGGCTACAGGCTGTCATTTCACATGCTGTTGCAGTTTACAATAATGTATCCATGGTATTGTCATGTATATTAGTGACTAATAACGTGGGTTCTGGATTAGATGAATGGGTTTATTTGCTCTATATACACACCAGCAGTAATTACACATAATTATAGCGCTGTTGCTATTTCTGTACTTTATAATTGCTACACCCACACTAGTCACCTGATAATGCAGTTAAAACACAGGAACTATAACAGTCTCACTGAATGACACACTCCAGATATTACACATAAAGTCTTCAGAGCTGCATTCTTACAGCTAACTCTTAATTACACTGCACTGCACTGCACTGCACTGCACTCTTGGATCTTTTCCCTGACGGCTTCATGTCCTTGACTCATGGCTTCTCAGCTATGACTACTTGCAAATGACCTTTGTTGTCCCCTATAAACCTTTGGCATGGACCAAACATAGAAAACACAAGTCATGTGATTGCTGTCCAGCAGGTTTATTGGCACATTGACTGCGGCCTACAGAAAACAAACATCATGTGACAGCTACCCACTGTTGCAGTGACATCATTGGAACTGCGAAGAAATGTGTTTACTGAGCCGTTGATCAATTCAGTTAAAATATTAAATGAGAACTCAACTATATTAGTGTCGAAAAAATGTGATGTTAATCCTGCTGGACCATACGGATCACAGTAGTGCAGTGGATGGCCATTAGTAGTCAGATAATGATTGGAACATGTGTTTACATCAGCTAAGATATTGGTTAGAGACTCTCGGAATATCTTGCACAGTGGACCATCATGGAAATCACCAGGTTGAAAATGAGTTGGAGTGTTCTGTTAAGGAGTACTAGTGAGTCTTCTTTGCAGGTCTTATATGTCCTCCAGAATGTACCGGGAACTGAAGCTTCGAGGAGCCATCATCCACAACAAGCAACTCAAGATCCTGCCACTCGAACAGCTGTACACAACTGTGCCAGGTGTCTGGAATCTCTCCAGTGATCAGGTGATATATAGCAAGACACGTTGCGTTCATTTTCACCATTTTATTTCCCTTGGTTTCAGAGATCACTAGTTGTAGAGTTTAATTCTCTTGATGGTGTTGGGAATTTATTGGAAGTCTAGTTGTTCAGCTGGGCAAGATATAGCTTACTTCTATGTAATGAAGGTTTATTGCCATGTTCACAAAACCCTGCTGTTAGATCCTGTTCTGAACCAGTGGAATCCAGTCCACCCATTCACACCTTGTTCCTCCAAGATCAGTTTCAACCCATTATACAGTAGGCTTAAGTTACCAGCATAAAATAAAATATATTGTGACATGACACCTGAAAGCTGTAATATTCCATTCCTAGCCAGTGGCTCGCTTGCGCACGTTTCCATGACAACAAGTCAGTATAATCTATTTTCTGAGCAACAGTTGGGTAAGCACGTTCCCATGGCAACGAATAAACAGAAAAGAAAAACAATAACAGAGAAACTGTAAGACCTTGTAACTTATATTTGCTGTGCCTCAAAGTTATAAAAGAGTTAGTTCAGTTCATTTGTGAGAGTGAGCTGTGAGCTGTCATTTGGCATTCATCATTTATAAGAGAGTTAAGTGTTCAGCTAGCGGCCTCCGTAGTCTAGGGGTAATGTTCCCACCTCATGACTCAAGGTACGCGGGTTCAGACCCAGTGGAGGTCGTGGAATTTTTAAGGGCGGAAAAATTCAGGGAACAAGTCCTCCGGGAGGTACTTGTAAGCCGTGTATCCCGTGTTGTAGATTTACGGCACGTAAAAGATCCTCATGTCTCAAGGAGACCTCTGAGCAAAATTAGGCCCGCCCAAGTAGTTTCCAATTCCTCCGGTAGATGGGGACGTATCGGGGACCACTGCCAGAGAGGTAGCCGACCTCGCTGGCAGAACGGGGCTGATAGTGAGCACCAGTACTAGAAGGGCATGGTGACTAGTAGAATAATTAAAGGGGGGCGCACAATAGATTAACAACTAGTCGCAGTGCATGGAGAAACCCACCCCCTCCAAAATAATAATAATAATAAGTGTTCAGCTGTGGAGTGCTAACCAGCAGACAATGGAAGCTGAGGAAGTGACAGATTCATAAATCAGAACCAAGTCAGCCACAGTAGGAAGAGAACAGACTCATAGTCCAGCAAGGAATGGAGCGAGTCTTAGACAGTCATTGCTTGTGAGCTGTTGTAATTGGTTGTAATTGTAGAGAAGTGCCAGTAAATCCAATCCAGAACCTGTTATTATCTATGATGGAACCCCCGGACACGTGACAGTATTTAGACATTTCAAAATAAACATCTCAGAATTAGCACTAAATGTATGTATAGGTCTACTCTGTACTGAAAGAAGTAAACAGTTTTGACTCTTATTATAACATTTCACGTGCAATAATGTAGCTAATGTAATCCCTGCAGAAGACTGCCTCACAGCCATCAGAGTTTGCTTGTAGCTTAATATTATCCTTCCATTTGACTGTACACACTGTAGATATTGTCAGCCGAATAAAGTAAGCCATATTAAAATGGGGTCCAGAGCTTCTTGTTTCATATGGGCATATGTTTTACATGTAGTTATTGTTTTGTTTAACAGGGCAATCTTGGCACTTTCATCATCACTAATGTTCGTCTGGTATGGTTCGCTGATATGAACGAGAATTTTAACATCTCCCTTCCATATCTACAGATAATGCATGTGAGTAGATACGTCTTTTGAATTGGCTGGAGGTTGAGATTTGAAATGCCCACAGTGGTGAGTGTCAGTCATCTGGGACTTAGATCGGGTGGGTAGGTACCAGCGTTCAGGTGGAACATGCTACTTTAAGCTTCAGAGCAGAAGAATGCCCTGAAGATGGATGCAGCAGATTCCTCCAAAATGTTGGTACCTATCTACCAAATACACCAAATGTTTCCAACAATTTTATGATGTGCATCAATAATTGTTGGGTTTTTTGTGTGCACACATGTGTTGCACAGCACATGAAGAGGTGTAGGAAATTTGAATGTTGATGGGCAAATTTTTTGTGATATCTATGAAAAATACTGTTTTAATATGCAGATAGTCATGTGGACTTCTTTTAATATACCATAAAATCCTGATACAAGAAAATAAATAGTTTTAGGGAGAAAGGGTGAAGATTTATTTGTATGTAATGTGTTCAAATTTGTATTCCCCACTAAAATTAAATTCAACTTCCTTAAAAGCCAAGAGAGTTCATACAGTATAGGACCAGGCTGCGGGCTAGATGGCCAAGGAATTGGGATTCAGTTCCATACAGGGGCAAGAGATTTTTCTCTTCTCCACAGCATCCAGGACCCACCCAGCCTCCTGTACAGTGGGTGGCAGGGGCTGTTTGATCAGTGCATGAAGCTGACTACTCACTTCTATCAAGTGCCAAGGTCAAGAAAGGCAGCAGAACTATGCCTCCACTCCCGCAATTCATCTTCACAGTATTGTGTTTGATTAATTAAGCACAAGGACAACTTTTGCCTTTTATCTTTATCCAATAGAATTCTGAATATGCATTTCTCTGTTATAACTGTAAGTGAATTAAAGGTTTGTATAATAAAAAAAAGCCATAACATTGTTCATATGGTTAGAGGCCTTTCCCAGATTTGTGACATTCCATGTGCGATGTTATGATGCAGGATCCAGAATTTGGGTGCTATTTTCTGTTAGAACCTTGGTTTTCCCCTGCCACTTCCATTCCGCTAATGCCCCTTGTTCATGTATTACAGCCCATACATGATATGCCTGGCCTGCCAGTGCATTGTCATAACCTTTTTCTTCAGTTTATGATTTTGTCTGTGACCAGAGAGAAGTTAATGTATAATAAAAGTGACTTTAGAAGCAACAGTCAAGTAAACTGTTGGTGGGTAGGTTAGATTTTTGGAGATAAAGAGTTCATTTTTATGTCAGGTGAAAATCCGCGAGTCCAAATTTGGCCCAGCACTAGTTGTGGAATGTGCAGAGCGTTGCGGTGGCTACGTGTTGGGGTTCCGAATTGATCCAAAGGAAAAACTGCAATCTGTACATAAGGAGCTGGTGTCCTTACACAGAGTATATGGACAGGTGCCGTTGTTCGGCGTGCAGTTCAGAGTAGGGGAGCAGGTGAGTGGGAAGATAAATGAGCAAATGTATGCATAGGGTAATGATTCTGCTGCATTCAGTCCCATTTGTTTAATTACCTCCAAAACTGTAAGACAGGAAGACTAATGGAGATAAAGTGTGCTTCAGTCTTCTCTGCAATTTCTCTTTACAATGTTTTTCACTCTAGTAAATATTTAGGAGGTTACATTAACCTTTATCGCACGGCCATTTAAATTCCGGTAGTGGCCATGGGATGGATTTAATTTAAATGCCCATCATTGTAGAGTAATAAAAACTGTAATCATGTTAGTTATTTAGTTATTTTAGAGAGGGTGANAGGTATTTGAACCCGCGTACTATGAGTCATGAGGTGGGAACGTTACCTCTATACTACGGAGGCCGCTTTGTAATCATGTTACTCAAAATGCTGTTATTTCTACAATTTTTGTGATAAACGAATGAAATAAACGCTACTTTTATCTAGAAAGTATATAGAATCAGATACTATAATTTACCAATTTTAGAATCTGTAAAAATTGTTACATTGATTCCAAAAAAAAAATTTCCCAATTTTGAGCGTGTCCACAAAAATGCATAAAGCTTCTGCACAGTACGTTTCTGCAGTATAAATGCATGGTGCTGACGCACACTCTTGTGTGTAATCTGGTAATAGGAGAGGATGTTTATGTACTCACATTCTCCAGTCACGTATGCTATCTCTATAACCGAGTGTGGGCGATTTCTTAACCTACATTGACCGTTTATTCACGTATGTCGGACTATCCAGACAGGCAGTTCTTGGAATATCACCTCATTCCACTTGCATCCACGTCCCTTCAGAATAAACTGTAACGCATTCTGAATGGTGTGATTTACGAGCGGCTTCTCTATTTTGAATTCTTCAACGCGAAAAGGGGCCATGGTGCATAGTTGAAATTGCGATGTTTTATAAGCGTTATGAATAGAGGAGACCATTCGCCATCACTGACCTACTCCCTGCTAATACGAGAATAACATTGCGTGTGCACACTTCGCGTGGAAAACAGTTAATTATGGACAAAGTGCATGAATTGCAATGTCGGACTCTGCATTCAGTGACATGCAACATTCAGTTAGATGATGCAGGAGGGAAGACAGTCTACTTATAAAGCTGGTGTCCAAAAATATTGTAAGTAGAACAAGAATTTCTATCTTAAAATAAGATTTTAAAACACTGTGCGCACGCATGGCTTGCGGGTACCCATATGGTGATGCACGGCCACTCGGCTGTACTTTAAATGACGCCGTATGGTGACATTAGTCTGATAAAGGTTAAAGATGTATATGAAAGTTTATGATTCTTCATGCTAATTGTCTGCTATTTCTGTCCATATTTTCAACAAAATTTTAATATGTCAGATTTGAGTAAAACTTTCCATTTTAAAGTTCTATTAACCTTTATCGGACGGGCCATTTAATTTCCGGTAGGGGCAGCTGGACGGAGTTTATTTAAATGCCCGCCCTTCTAGAGCGATGAAATTGTAAGCATGTTTCTGAAAATGGTGTAATTTCTACATTTTTTATGATGAACGAAATGAATGCTCCTTTAATGTAGAAAGAATATAGAATCAGATATTCTAATTTACAGATTTTAATATCTGTAAAAAAAATGTTACACTCATTCCAAAAAAAAAATCCCGAAATTCATACATTTTCTGCACCATGCGTTCTAGCAGTGTAATACAT